CTTTCTATTGCCTTCATCCCTGTCCTTTCCTTGGGTCAGTTAAATGTATTTCCTAGTAATCCCTGTGATGACTACCCATGAAAAGAAGCCTAGCAGGACTCACACTCAGTGTTCGCATCAGGTGGATTTGCCAGTCAGGGAGCTGAGCCATGGCAGAGCCTGCAATGGAACAGAGCACCTAACGTATTGGCCAATGCTAATTCCTCCACATCTTACCTGTGCTGCAATAGACCACTCCCTCTGGCAATGCTCACTGCTGTATAATTGAGGGCTGGTCTTCCAAAAGCCAACAAGAAAACATTGCACTCAGGATCACCTGGTGGCTTAGGCTAATGAATATTAAGGACCCGCACTTACTAATAAATATTTCCCATCTAATCTACCCACATAAATAATGCACATACTCATATAATATGCATTGTAGACATAGGAAACTAATTCACAAGTCAGTTCATCATTCTGTCAAAAGAAGTATTATGAACACATAATTTGTGTTAAAAGACAGTAAATGTTATACAATACCTCTTACGGTTCTTCGAATTTCAACCAGTGACTTTGGGATTTTATTGCCAAGCCACTACACACACACACACACAGTCTGAATTTTAGGCATTCTACAATTTTGTGAGAAAAAATATGTTATGGTAGGTCGGTAGATTTTTGGAGACTGCTCCATTCTCAATAATTCACGTAAATTATCTTCTACCCCCACTATTGGAGCTAAGTAAGTAGTACATATAAAAATCAGAACACGACACTTAAAAAATACTGAAATGAGATATTTTACAGTAAACCACAGGAGGAAAAATTAGTAGTCTCAACTCCTTCTACAAGTTTTTTATCTTTAGTTTAACTTTTTAATTGATAAAACATATAGACCTTTCTTTTTTTCATTCCAAAAATCTTTCATTACACCAAACTGAAAAATCATTTCTAACTCTCCCATCAAGCCCAAGTAACATATTGTGTATTGCAGTTTTTCACTCACATAGTTGCTGGCAGACAAAGAGGTCCAGGAGAATCTATCACAATTTTATCCCAAGACAGACACCAGGTTGATTCTAGAAATTGTAAGTTTATTCCTGCAAGAGAGGACAGGAGGAAGCAGTTGGTTTTCTACCTCTGAACTGTTTTGAAGAGTCTGTGAAAATCAAAAAAGTTATATTCCCCAGACTTTTTGGTAGGCTCAGGGGGAAATAGTTATCAGGTTTTTCAACAGGCCAGGGAAATAATTAACAAGTTTTACAAAGATCAGAAGACCTTCAAACAATGGGACAAAGGAAGCAAATTTCATAGGAAATCGTCTACATTTTCCCAAGGTCATGTCAGACCTATACTCCCTATGGCTTCAGCTTCCAGGCTTCTGTCAATGGCCTTGCTTGCCTTTTCCTCCGTTATGGCATCCTTGAATAAAGAATAGGTTTAAAAAGAATTTTTACTATAGGCGAAGGAGCTGTTACAGCCTGGCTCCCTTTTAACAAATCTCAACAAACCAAATCCCAAACTAAATTGCATTTCTAGTATTTGACTAACAGGGTTAACTCTGTCATCCCCTCTAACAGCATGACTCACAACTTTGCGTTAGTGAAACTATGGAAGGCCAATGTGTGCTCAAATTACACGCAATCCAGGCAGTGTCATATGTGAGAAATCAATGCACAGCTCATGCCATAGGGAGAGTTAGCAATTGGTGCACCTTCCCTTTTGGTCGGCCATTCATTTAAGCACGTCATGTGCAGTGTCGCTGTTGTTGTTGGCTACCATTGAGTGCATGGGCCCATTCCAATGCATGGAGATGTCAAACATACGAAGCAGAACTGTTCCACAGAGGGATTTGGTTTTCCCTGTGGAGAAGCATAATTATCGTCAGCCCAAACAAAACTAAAGGCCGACTGTGGAACGCATCATCAATTGCTCATTTAGCAAGTGGAGGCTAAGGTTGAAGAACTTTAAGCCCACAAGAACAACCTTGAGAATATTCTACTTGAATTTCGAAACTATTTCTGAACAGATTTGATACATTGAACACCAATGACCAAAGTCCAAGCAAGTTCTGGGATAACATCAAGAACATCATTCCTGAAGAAACCAAAAAAGTCAAGGAAAAGATAGGAAAGAAGGGAAAAACCAAAATGAACCTAAGAAGGGACTCCCAAACCTGCTCTTAAACAAATTCACTAAAGCAAACGGAAGAATTAATGATAAAGTAAACGAGCTGAATCGAAAAATTCAGCAGGCAGCTCAAGGAGACAAAGCAAAGTTTTATAATGAAACGTACAAAGATCTGGACTTAGAAAACCCAAAATAAAAAGACTGCTCAGTATATCTCAAGCTGAAAAACGTTTCCAAAACATTCAAGCCCTGAATTGTAATGTTGAACGAGATGGCAAACATGTTGAATGATACAGGAAGTATCAAAGAAGATAGGAGGAATACACAGAATTCTCGTATTAATAAGAAGTGGCCAGCATTCACCAATTCTAAGAAGTAGTATATGGATCAAGAACCACTATCATTAGAGAAAGAAGCCCTAGCTGGACTGAAGGCACACGTGGAAACAAGGCTCCGAGACCGGATGGAATACCAATAGAAACATTTCACAAACTACTGTAGTGCCGGAAACGCTCACTACTCTATGCTGAGAAATTTGGAAGGCAGCTACCTGAACAACCAACTGGAAAAGATTTACATCTGTGCCTATTTCAGAGAAAGGTGATCCCAAAGAATGCAGACACCATTGAACAATATCTTATATCACATGCAAAAAAATTGCTGAAGGTTATTCAGGGTGCTTGTAGGAGTACATTGACAAGGCGCTGCAGAAATGACAAATCTGTCTCGGCAGAAGTACAACCAAAATGCTCTTTAGAAAAAACAATGCTGAGACTTTGTGTTGAACATTTTGATCATGTTGTCAGGAAAAGGGCAGCATGCACGGGAAGGCGGGGCACCGGTGAAACAGGATGCACCTGCACTAGGAGCGGGGTAGGCTCCAACGGAACAACAATTTTGAGGATGGGATAGAGGCAAACCCTAACAAAGTACACAGGGTTGCTTCCAGCCTCACAGTAACAACACATAGTCACCCCCGTAAGACACACTGAGCGGCCAGGGGTGAAGGCTTCCTATGGGAGGGAACCAACTCATTGAAACGCCAAACAGCACGGAGCTAGTAAATTGAGGGTTTACTAGAACCGCTGGGTAAAGTCCTCATTCATAACCACTATGATAGTGCTTACTGACCTCAAACTAACAGACTTAAAATAATCACGAAATTGAGTTCTCCTGGGGCTCTTTATCGTGTCTGAACTCATCTCCAAGCACTAGAAGGCCCAGAACCTCGGTGTCTCCCCGAGGCTCTAGAATACAGATCTGTCCCCTGCCTGTTACGCATTGCTGAGAAAATGTAGTCCTCTCAGAAAGAGGACACCCGACATTTCTGTCTAGAACCTTGACACAGGCATTGGTGATGTTACAGGTAAGAATTTATAAGTAGGGTAGAAAGCCAAGGGTTCTAAATATGGAAATGAAGAATAGGTTATAAAGGAAATGCTTACCAAGCTGAATTTGTGATCTATTTTATGTGAATACTAAAGGAGGTAATTATCCTCTCTCATTATCTATTCAAAGAGAGAACAGATGGCTTTGTTAAACTCCTTGGGTTCTTAGAATTGGGGGCTGATTTATAAATGAAATGTTATGTTTATTTTAAAATGTTAATTCTGATTACTACTTGATAAAAATAGAATTGTATTTTTATGAACATTAAAAAAAACTCTGAATCATTGTCTGCCATTACATTATGAAGTATTGAGTTCCTGATGATTTGTGAATCTTAAATGATTCACGGCCAAGGAATACTCAGTGCTCAGTGCTCAGCAGTGTAAGGCAGGAAGAACGGCAGTGTTCTCCAAGATACTTAGTTGGCAGAGTGTGAAAGCTGTGTATTGGCGAGAAACTCTATGTATCGTATATCCCCTTCTCCTTTTAAAATATCTTACATCCTCCAGAGTCTTTGTCAAGGTCAAAGCTCAACGTGTTAACCAGGGGAAACCCCAAAGAATGCCAAGATCTGAAAATAATACCTGGCTCTCTAGCAATCAGTAGGACAGCTGGCTTGGCAGCCCTGAAAGATTGTAGTGCCCTCTGGGAGGTAACAAAGTCCTTGGAGGAGGGAGGCAGGGAACCAGAAGGGCAAGAAGACTAGGGGTGGATGTGGTAAGTGTACAAGACAGAGCAAAAGTCAGAGAGAGAAAGAGGAGAATGAGATTTGAAGAAATGAAGCATATATTTCTTTGGTTAATTGGATATATGTTTCAAAATCTTCTGGAGTTTGTTGAAAACATTCCTTGGAAATACCTTGAGTGGATAGCCTCTGGGTAAGAATAAAACATTTGCACATTGCTTAAAATGATTCAGAAAGACACCTCATAGACTTATATTTGAACCTAAGTCATAAATGACTCAGAGAACAATCTGAGTTCTCTGGCCAAAAAAATACAATGAAAGTGAAGCATATAACTTTATATTTTCCCTATGAATATAATACATTCTTACTATATGTGAAAGTTCAGCAAGGAAGAGATTAATTTACCTATCAATTTCTTTTGTTTATTTTTATAAAATGATCATATAACTCTCTCGCTTTTCTTAACCTATTTCTTTATTTTCTATATTTCAGTGTAGAACAAAACAGGACCAGAAAAATAAGGAGAACGAATTAATTCCAACAGATTTCAGATGACTATGAAATCTTGTATCTTATATGCCATAATGATTATAGTGTACATCTTTCCTTTATTCATGGGTTTATAAGATGTAACTACTTTATTATTGTCCTGTGTAGTAGATATATCTTTCTATATAGTTAAAAGTAGAATAACTAATTACCCAAAGCTATTCTTTGTCAAGCACTCTGAACAGATAGCATATTGTATTTTCCAAAAACAATTCCAACAATCACATGGATTAATCTTTTATTTTTCTCTTTCTAATTATAGCAGAAAATGGCCCTCGTCTACGCGTGGAAGCAGAACAAGCCAAAGTGTTCTCCCACAGAGGTGGCAATGTCACACTGCCGTGCACATTTTACCGAGACCCTAGAGCATTTGGCTCAGGAACCCACAGAATCCGAATCAAGTGGACCAAGCTAACTTCAGATTACCTCAAGGAAGAAGACGTCTTTGTGTCCATGGGATACCACAGGAGAACCTATGGGCACTATCAGGGAAGAGTGTTTTTGAAGCAAAGCAGTGACAATGATGCTTCTCTGGTGATCACAGACCTGACGCTGGAGGACTATGGGAGATATAAGTGTGAAGTGATTGAAGGATTAGAAGATAATACTGCTGTGGTAGCTTTGGAGTTACAAGGTAAGTGCATATAAATCATGTTAAACTTAGAAATGCTAATGAACTATTACTCATGCGTTTTCACGAGAAGTATTGCCGAGTGGTTACCATAGTAATGCTGTGAGAAATCAGAAGTCCAGGCATAGCAGGTTTCTGTTATTGTTTTGTACTTGACAGTCTGCCTACGATTGCAGCGTTCACCCTTGAAATGCACTCACAATAGTGATGTGCAAAACCGGAGCTATGAGCGGGAACGTGCTGGAAAAGGAATTGACGATGTACAGAAACTGCTTTATATGATTCAAAATTTAAATCCTGGAACAGGGTTGTTGAGAAATTCAGATTGGATGCATTCTTTTTTTTTTGGTTTTTAAAATCAGTTTATTGGGGATTCTTACAGCTCTTATCACAATCCATACATACATCCATTGTGTCAAGCACATTTGTACATATCTTGCCATCATCATTTTAAAATCTTTTCTTTCTACTTGAGCCCTTGGTGTCAGCTCATTTCCCTCTCCTCCCTCCTTCCCCCATGATCCCTTGATGACTGATAAATTATTATTTTTTTCATATCTTATACTAATCACTGTTTCTCTTCATACACTTCTTTGTTGTCCTGGGAGGGGGCTATATGTCAACTATCGTAATCAACTCCCCCTTTCTCCCCCAACCTTCCCCTTCCCCTCATCCTATCACTACTCTCATTATTGGTCCTGAGGGGTTTACCTGTCCTGGATTCCCTGTGATTCTAGCTCTTATCTGTACCTTTGTACATGCTCTGATCTACCCAGATTTGTTTGTTGTTTTTTTTAACATTTTATTAGGGGCTCATACAACTGTTATCCCAATCCATACACACATCAATTGTGTAAAGCGCATTTGTACATCGTTTCTCAAAACATTTTCTCTCCATTTAAACCCCCGACATTAGGTCCTCATTTTTCCCCTCCCTCCCCGCTCCCCCCTCCCGCATGTGCCCTTGATAGTTTATAAATGGGTATTTTGTCATATCTTGCCCTGTCCGACGTCTCCCTTCATCCACTTTTCAGTTGTCTGTCCCCCAGGGAGGAGGTCACACACAGTTCCTGGATGCACTCTTATCATGCTTCTAAAATTATTGTAATTTCAAAATAATGGCCAGCTTCTTAAAAGGACATCTGCTAGCAAAATACATGGAACTTTATTCAGCACCGTGATTGTGAAATTGTAATTTAAACAGATATGTGTAAAGTTGGATTGAGTTAAATGTTAGTTTATTTTTTTTATAAAGAAGCAATTTTTGAAAATGGTGAAGAATCCCTCGGATATTGAATATTACATGACCAAGGAATTCTGGAGATATTTTTACTTGTTAAATGCATAATATCCACTAGGTCCCAAACCTAAAATGTGTAGTAGAGCAATTATGTAAGGCGTGCCCTTCCAGTCTTTGCCTCCCCTCTGTCCAGTGCCCACCTCTGTGCCCCACCAGCGAGGACACTCATCGCTGTACTTTCTCCTGTTATTTTCATTAATGTCAAGTTTACTTGTGACCGATATGTGAATTTCCACTGGATTACTAGAAGGCTTCCCTTCCTTAGGGACCTAAAGCTTGGGGTGTGTATTTGCTAAAAGCCCTATGTCTGTGAGATAGTATGACGTTTTGAGAATTGTCTGTGACAGTGAGTCGCATATCACTGGTAATCGGCCCTCCTAATCCTGTGGAATCACGTCACATGTAGGAGATTTGCTTTTTGTATCTAATGAGTTCCATGATATTGTTAACTGCATTGTGGTGGCCATCCCTTGATTCTCCTACTTATCATTCTTGGCTACTGATTGCATGTGGCCACGCCACCCTCCTGTTTATTGGCTCACATTAATAATGAACTAATATTGGTTCACATGAACATTGGCATTATGCAAGGTAGAAAAAGCAATTGGCTTAGAGGGAAAAAAATCAGCAAATATAAATTGAGAGATCATTTCCTTTACATCAGGTGTATGAGGCTGACCTCTGAGCCCTTACTATAGGAGTCTTGGGTTAATCCCAACACTACCAATATAAATTTTGGCAGATTTCTTATCCTTGGTGTACCTTAATATCACCGATTATTCAATGACTACTTTTTCTCCTAAAGTTATATTTCTTTTTTTTTCCTAAAGTTATATTTCTATATCACAGTATTGCATAAACTCAAATACTCTTCATGCCATAATTACTGTTTCCACATATTTATTTTTAATGAAACTTTAAATGAATTGAAACTAGCATAAATTGCTAGAAATAGAAGGAGGCTATTTAAAAACTATACAGAATAGGGGGAACAAATTTTTTTAAATGAAAATGGAAGAAATGATGAAGTGAAGGAGATGAACATCTAATTTCAGACAGCTCAAGAAAACAAAGTATTATAATGAAACGTGCAAAGACCTGGAGATAGAAATGAAGAAGGAAGACTATACCCCACGCATCTCAAGCTAAAAGAAATGAAGAAAATATTCCAGCCTGATTTGAAACATGTAAGGCTACTATGGGAAAGATATTGAATAATACAGGACGTATCAAGAGAAGAGCGGGGGGAAAAAAATACACAGTCACAGTATCAAAAGGATTAGTTGTCATTCAACCTGTTCAGTGGTAACATATGATCAAGAAGAGATGGCATTGAAGAAAGAATTCTAAACTGCACCAAAGGCAACTTGGAAGAAAGCCTCTGGGAATTGTCAGAATACCGATGGAAATGTTTCAACAAACAGTTGACGCGCTGGAAACCCTCACATGCTCATCTGTACCATGACATTTGGAAGACAGTTTCCTGTCTAACCAAATGGAAGAGAGCCATGTTTGTGCTAATGCTTAAGAAGCGTGACCCAAGAGAATGTGAAAATTTTCTAATAATATCATGAAGATCACATACAAGGAAAATTTTGCTGAAAATAGTTTTAAATGGCTTCAACAGTGCTGTAATGGGGGGCTGCCAGAAATCCAAATTGGATTTAGAAGAGGATGTGGCTCAAAGGATGTCACTGCTGGCCTCAGATGGCTTTAAAGCATAGAATACCAGAAAGATGTTTGCTTGTGTTTTGTTGACTTTACAAAGGCATTCTACTGTGTGGAGCATAACAAACTATAAATGCCATTGAGAAGAATAAGAATTCTGAAACACTTCATTGCACTCACACGAAACCTATACACGAGTCAAAAGGTAGCCATTCAAACAGAATTAAAGAAGAGTGCATGATTTAATAACCATGTTATTTTGGAGGGGGCATTGTTGGAAGTCAATCTTAGAAAGATAAGCATTAAATATCATCATTGTTATAAGGAAAACAAGAATAAATGTGATTTATTTGCCAATAGACCAGACTTTGATGACTATGAAGAGACCAAGGACTAGGGTGAAAATAGGGAGTAGGGAAGGACGGGGTATCAAGAAATAATGAGGGTTTAGCATGAAAAAACAAACACAATAAATATTGCATCATGGGGGAAAACACCCCTAGATTCCTGACCCCTCAGATCCAAATACTGGTCTGGATGGCTTAAAAAGGAGGAACATTAAAAGAGAATTTGACTTGGAGTCTCTAATGATATACAAGTTCATTTTTAAAAATTACAAACAAAAATGCATGATTTAAAAATCAGAAAAAGTGTCCACAAGGGTTGTATCACTTCACCATAGTTATTCATCTGTATGCTGAGCCAAGTCATCAGAGAAGGTGACTTGGATGAAGAAGAAGGTGGCTCAGGATGGAGGAAGGCTTATCAACAGCCTGTGATATGCAGATAATACAACCGTGGTGGCTGAAAGTGAGAAGGGCCTGAGCACTTGCTGACGAAGGTCACTGACGGCAGCCCTCAGTTTAAACTGCAACTCAACGTTAACAAAAGCGAAACCTTCACAACTGAACCAATAATCAACAAACAGTGTGACAAATGGATAAACTGTCGAAGTGATCAAGGATTTCTTGAGTGGAGCCACAATTAATGCTATGGAATCAGCGATCAGGAACTCAAGCGATGTGCTGCATCAGGAGTATGTGCTACACAAGACATCCTTAAAGTGTTGAAGAGCCAAGGTAACAGATTGAAGACTAAAATGTGCCTGCTTCATATTCATGTGGAAGGTGGACAATGACTAAAGGAGACTGCAATTCAAACGGATGCATTTGAATTATGGTGCTGGTGAGGAATGCTGAAACTCGGCTGACAGAAGAACTATACATCTGTTTTGGAAGACGTATGTTCAGAGTTCCAATTGGAAGGGAGATGGGGAAACTTATTCTCATGTATTTCTGATACGTTATCGAGAGAAACAAGTCCAAGGAAAAAGACATCATGATGGCTAAAGTCGAGGGTCAGGGAAAAAGTGGACACTCCTCAGTAAGATGGACTGACGGACACAATGGCTGTAGTAATGGGCTCAAACCTAATAACGATTGTGCTGATGGTGCAAGACCGGGCAATGTTTAGCTCTGTGTGCTTGGAGTCCCTATGAATTGGAACAAACTCCATGACCCCTAACAATAACAGAAAACCCAAAGTCATGGTCATCAAGCCAGTGCTCGCTCATGGTGACCCTATAGAACAGGGGAGAACAACTGCTGTGAGTTTCCCAGATTGCAACTCTTTACAGGAATAATAGTAACATAAAATACCTACAATGAACATAAGATATTTCTCACCCAGCTGGATACTAATGGCTTGGAGTATGTAACCTGCTCTCCCTTTTCCTGAAAATGAAATGTGGAATGTGTGAGAGAAGATAATGCGATCCCAGGTCAGATCTTCTCCAATATAATTTGAGGAGCTGACCAAATACACTAAATCCACATTGCTATCTAGTCAATTCCCACTCATAATGACCCCATCTGGAGGATCTGAGACTGCAAATCTTTATGGAAGTAGAGAGTCCTCATGAATTAGAGTAGTTCAGCGCTTACCTGATAGTGCCACCCACTTACCTTTTCTTGCTTCCACAATCCAGAATCCAAATCCCCACGTCCCCATGCTTTGAATAATCCTGGTGGTGTAG